AAATCACCAAAAGCCCAGATGTGGATGGAGATGAATTTCAAAAAGGACATGGAGGAAGTAAGAAACCACTGGTTACCATACACAGCTGAAGGGGAACACTGGTGGGGAAGGACACGGGGAAGAGATTCCTCCTTGGATGGAAAGCCCAAGACAGATTACTCATTAATTTATGTCTATTTTGATATAAGGTGGAGATTTAGAGAACACCCAACATTCACTTCTGGTGTCCATGCAGGGGCAGGATAAGAGTGTACAAACATGCACATGCATATACTACCATGTAGCCCTGGATGTCCTACAACTTGCTATGTAGAGCAGGCTGGCTTCAAACTTGGAGCTCTTCCAGCCTCAACCTCCTAAGTGCTGGGACTAAAGGTGTGTGTGACCAGACCTAGCCATTTATTCATTTTGAAGCAGGGTCTCTTGTATCTCATGGTGGTCTTAAATTCAGTATGTAGCTGAGAATGACCTTGAACTTCTGATCCTCCTGCTAGCTCAAGCAAGTGCTGCCACATCTGGTTTATGTCATTTGAGGGAACCAATCCAGGACCTCATTCAGCAAGCACTCCATAATAACTGAGCTAGACTGTGGGCCCAGAGGACCCAGAATTGAGTGAATTGAGTGTCAGTCTGCCTGTGTATACTGATCACCTCCTCAGGGCCCTGTGTGTTCCCACAGTCTGCTTGTGACTCCTGGCCCTCCCCCCCCCCCCGAGACAGGGTTTCTCTGTGTAGCTTTGGAGCATATCCTGGCACTCAATCTGGAGACCAGGCTGGCCTAGAACTTTAATCCCAGCCCTCGGGAGGAAGAGTCAGGAGGATCTCTGTGAGTTCGAGACCAGCCTGGTCTACAAGAGCTAGTTCCAGGACAGCCTCCAAAGCCACAGAGAAACCCTGTCTCAAAAAAAAAAAAAAAAAAAAGGTGTGCACCACCAACGCCCGGCATCCTGGCCCTCTTCTTACCTTCCCATGACTGAAAACTTTTGAATTTGCCTACTTGAATAAAATGAAAGCAAGAGAGAACTTAAAGGAACGAGGACAGAGGTAATGGGGAGAGAAAGTAATAGGGACGTTAGCAGGCATGTTCATATGTCTGTGAGTGCCTACACATTCGTGTGGATGAGCCAGCACACGTGTGTGTGTGTGTGTGTGTGTGTGTGTGTGTGTGTGTGTGTGTGGGTGTGTGTGAGTGTGTGACTGTGCCTGTGTGTTGCTGTGTAGGAGTGCATGGTGCAGGTGTGGGGAGGAATTGTTTCAGCTCACTGTCTTCTGAAGCTGCTGTGCTCATCACAGCTTCCTCTCTGGTGGGGACTCTCAGCCTGAAGCTCCCTGCCTTAGTTTCCTCTTTTTGTGAAGCCAAGGTATAGTCAGTCACCTCCAGGATGTATGAAGGAGGGAGACAGTGCCCTCTAGTGGGCAAAAGACATCCCGGCATTCAATGGTCAACGTCCGCCAGCACCCCACAAGTCAAGGTTGGAACTTACCTCCAAAACTCCCCTGAGGAAGGGCAACAAAGCAGGCTCTGTCCCCCCTGAGAAATAAGGCCTGGCAGGTGGGAAAAAGATGTTCATGGGGCACCAGACAGAAAGGGAATCCATGGATGTGTATGAAAGAGGACAACAGTTGAAGATAGCTGATCTCTCTTCATATCCAGTCTCTTTTTCTTTTTTTGGTTTTCTGAGACAGGGTTTCTCTGTGTAGCTTTGTAGACCAGGCCAACTCAAAAAGATCTGCCTGCCTCTGCCTCCCGAGTACTGGATTTAAAGGCGTGTGCCACCACCACCAGGTCATACCCAGTCACTTTTGTGGGGTTTTGTTGGGTATCACATCTGTCTATCTATCTATCTATCTATCTATCTATCTATCTATCTATCTATCTATCTAGTTTGTTTGTTTGTTTGTTTGTTTGTTTGTTTGGAGACAGGGTTTCTCTGTTGCTTCTTCCAACTACGAGTTCTAGGGATCAAATTTCGGTGCTCAGGCATGTCAGCAAGCTCTTTTCTGGCAGCCATCTTACCAGTCCACTTTTTGGTTTTTTGAGACAGAGTTTCTCTGTGTAGCTTTGGAGCCTGTCCTGGAACTCACTCTGTAGACCAGGTTGGTCTCGAACTCACAGAGATCCACCTGCCTCTGCCTCCCGAGTGCTGGGATTAAAGGTGTGCACCACCAATGCCCGGCGCCAGTCCACTTTTATGTGTTTAGTCTTTTCTCACTTCTTTTTCCTGATGTAGCCTCTACCTTGATCCATTCCCACTACCTTGATCCATTCCCTCCTACTGGCTCCATGCTGAAGGATCTGTGGATTGCCTCACATCTGCAATGCCTTGAGCAGAGACTAGACCCTTCTATCTGAACCCTGGGCAAGGAAGACTTCCTGTTGTAGGAATGTAACAATAGGGTATTGAAAAAGAAGTGGGGAGCTGGGTATAGTGGCTTCGGCCATAAACCCAGCTGCTTGGGAGGTGAGACAGAAAGATGAAGAGCCCAGGAGTTCAAGGACAGCAACACAGGGAGAGCCTGTCTTTAGGAAGTTCAGAGGGCTGGAGCTGGAGAGCTGGCTCAGCAGTGAAGAGCACAGCTGCTCTTCTAGAGGATGCTTAGTCCATCCCCAGCACCCACACAGTGGCTCTCCACCAGCTTCCGGTGGTCTGTGTCCAGTTCCAGGGGATCCAACACCCTCTCCTGACCTTCTTAATGTTGCACACACTGTGGTGCATAGTCACACAGGCAGGCAAAATACCCATAGACATTAAATAAATAATAAATAAATAGATCAGAGAGATCAGACATGGTGGTACACGTTTAATACCAGCATTTGGGAGGCAGAGACAGTTGGATCTCTGTGAGCTCAAGGCCAACCTGGTCCACATGGTGAGACCATGTTGAAAAAAAACAACAAAACAATAATAATAGTAATATAATAATAGTGATGATGATATCATCAGGGCCAGCAAAGGTGACTCAGCAGGTAAAAGCACAGAGCCTGGTGGCTTGAGTCTGATTCTGAGCATGGAAAAAGAAAACCATTTGGGAAAGTTGTCTTCTGATCACCAGACACATACTCACACAGAAGGCAAAATAAAAAGATGAGCAAAAATGAGTAGGAGCCAACCGAAAGTCCTGGGGCCGTGGGTGAGCCTAGTATGTCTGGGAGGCTTCAGGTAGCTGGATGCTGGATTGGGGGTCTGTGTCAGAAATGAAGGGATTTCTGTTGTATAGGTCCATCTTAGGGGTGAGCTTTACTAGAAGCAATGAGGAGTTTTGGGCATGATCACATGACATGAACTGAAGACAGGGACAAGGGAGGCTGTCTATCATTCAGAGGGAAAAAACAAAAGAACTGAGGAATGTCTAATGGCAGTGGAAGGTTGAAGAGGGGCTGGACCTCAAGGCTTTTTCTTCTGGGGTTTTGTGTCCTAGCAGTAAAGCTGAGGCCATGAGCAGCCCAGCAGCCAGCTCTTCTAGAACCCAGCACCCTGCCTCTCATCCCAACACATCCCGGGTCTCCTACAAGTGGGATGGGGGTTGGGGAGTAGGGCTAGGCCTTAAATTCCCTAAGGAATGGGAAGGCCCAGGTAGACTTGTTCAGCCTCAAACCTACTCCTGGAACTGCTGAGAAAGAGTTAATCTGCTTTGCCTGTTTCCCTCCCTCCCTTCCCTCTCCTAGGTCACCTTCTTGGCCCTAGAGACTTAGCTGGTGGCTCAAGTTCCTCAACCAGTGGCCCTAGGCAATCAGGGCACAGAGAGGTCAGGATTCCAAGGGTAGGGAATGGGACATTGAGACCCGAGGGAGTCTCAGGACTGATGGGTCTAATGCTAGGGTTTGGGGGGAGCTCTCAGGCTGATTCCCAACATTTCTCCTGCCCCAGGACCTTCTGTCTCCATACTGGCCACAATTTCTTCCACCCACTGGCGAGAACTTCTCACACCCCCCTTCTAAATTGGTTTTTTTGGGGGGGGGGTGTTTTGTGTGTGTGTGTGTGTGTGTGTGTGTGTGTGTGTGTGGTTGGTGGAGAGCAAGGCAAGCTGTGGAAGGGTTAGAAGTTTCTGTCAGCAAGCTTTTCAGCTTCAAGAGTCCCTCCCCCAGTGCTGGGAACTGGTCAGAATTGAGTCTGTGGTCAGTGAGAAATTGCTGCTAATGGAACCTGGGCCACCCCACAAGCCACAAAAAAGGGTGGGGGAGGGAATGAGGACTATATGTGGTGAGCCTGGGGGAAGGATGTGGGCCTAAAATAGAGCTGTAGGTCAGAGGAGAAGGGGAGTTAGGGACTAGCTGGAGGGGACTTGTGGGTCAAGGGAGTGACTGCAGGGATGCGAGGCTGGGGAGGAACATAAACTGGAGGTGACTGGAAGTTAAGTAAGTATCAAAGGAATGATTAGAGGGACCAGAGGCCTGAGGGTAGGCTGAAACAATAGGAGTGATGGGTGGAGAGGAATTAGAGAGCCTGGCTAGTGTCTATGGAGGACCTGAGGCTTGGGTATCCCAGAAGAAGATCCAGATCGAGTGAGAATAAGGCAGAGGGCAGAACTGGGATGCTGAGACCGATGGACATGCCCAGAAGCAGTTGGAGGAAAGAGTAAGCATGGATGACCTGCAGGAGGGAGGCAACTGAGGTCATTCTGAGGAAGGGACCGCATTGGTTGTCACCTCACCTGAGGAGTCTTTCCCAGGGATTTCACTTTGCTAAAAGCCTTCATTCTGCTGGCTGGAGCCAGTGTCAGGCAAAGGTCTTCAGCTCCCCTCCTCCCCAGCAGGCCTCCCTTTCCCACTGCCATCAATTATTCATCAGCACAGACACCGCCCTCTCTAGCAGGACAGTCTGGTCCTCCTCCCTGTGCCTGCCCTGGCTCAGCCACACTGCCACAGAGGCGCTGGTGAGGGAGAACAAACAGCTGGGCCAGTGGAGACTTAGCCAAAGGGCTCCTTAGCTGGCCCTGCTGGATCACACCAGAAGCCCCATCTCCTTCCCTCCGGCACCATCCTCCTGCCCCTGGAGAAGATGCCCATCCAGATCTTTTGCTCTGTGTCATTCTCCTCTGGAGAAGAGGCCCCAGGATCCATGGGAGATATCTGGGGTCCTCATCACCACCGGCAGCAGCAGGACAGCTCAGAATCAGAAGAGGAAGAGGAAGAGAAGGAAAAAGAGGCACTGAAGAGGGAGCTTGATGACGGAGACTCACCTAGGGACTTGGTGGCCTTCGCCAACAGTTGTACCCTCCATGGTGCCAGCCATGTCTTTGTGGAAGGGGGCCCAGGGCCAAGGCAGGCCCTGTGGGCAGTGGCTTTTGTCATAGCACTGGGTGCCTTCCTGTGCCAGGTAGGGGACCGAGTTGCTTATTACCTCAGCTATCCACATGTGACTTTGCTAGATGAAGTCGCCACCACAGAGCTGGTCTTCCCGGCGGTCACATTCTGTAACACCAATGCCGTGCGGTTGTCCCAGCTCAGCTACCCTGATCTGCTCTACCTGGCCCCCATGCTAGGGCTGGATGAAAGTGATGATCCTGGGGTGCCCCTTGCTCCACCGGGGCCAGAGGCCTTCTCCGGGGAGCCTTTTAATCTCCATCGTTTCTACAATCGCTCCTGCCACCGGCTGGAGGACATGCTGCTCTATTGTTCCTACTGTGGGGGCCCCTGTGGTCCCCACAACTTCTCAGTGGTGAGTGGGGCCCATGCTTAGCACAGTACCCCAAGAGTATATGGCATGGTCTCTCTCTCTGGCCATCTGCTCCTGGGACAGGGGCTGAAAACTGCTGAAACCTGCCTGACCTGGGCCAGAGCTCACCTGGAATCTCAGAGTCTGGAGCTGGACTAAGAGCCCTAGGTTCACAGCTCTTCCTAGTTGTGTCTTGAAATATGTCCCCATTGTAATTGGCTGCTGTTCTGATGCCTGGACTATCCTCTAGTCTCATCTGCTCTTCCCCAGACCTCTTCATGCTGTAGCACAGTCCTGCAACTTTGCTCTAGCTACGAAATCAGCCTATAATCTGGGGTGGGGTGGGAGCTATGTTCTGACCAGTTGTTGACTATCATCCCTGGAGTGATAGTGGGGGGTCACCTAGTCTCTAGAGGTGCAGAAGGGGGTCATAGATGGAGGGGATAGCCCCTACCTTCACCTCAACACCATGTCAGCCGATCTCACAGCAGGGATTTAATTGCATCTTTACTTTGTCTTCTGTGCTCTTCCCCATTGGAGTTGATCCTCTACCAGCTCTCTCTCTCTCTCTCTCTCTCTCTCTCTCTCTCTCTCTCGCTCTCTCTCTCTCTCTCTCTCTCTCTCGCTCTCTCTCTCTCTCTCTCTCTCTGTGTGTGTGTGTGTGTGAGAGAGAGAGAGAGAGAGGGGGGGGGAGAGAGAGACAGAGACAGAATATGTGAGTGTGTGAGAGTATTGTGAGTGTGTGAGAGAGAGAAAGAGAGAGAGAGAGAGAGAGTGTGTGTGTGTGTGTGTGGTCCATCTATCTGTCTATGAATCTGGGAACCCTCTAAACCAAAGCCCATGCTCCCAGCTCTGATTAAGTGGCCAGGACTTTCTTCCTGAAGGAAGCCATCATTGAAAATGTCACTTTCTCCATTGGTCTCCTATCTGGCCTGATGCCCCTCTGGTCCCTGCAGATTTCAGATGCCTGGCCTTTCTCCATACCCACCCTTCTATGTCCTACCATGTAGGAGCAAATGGGTGTCATCTCAGTCCCTGAAATGATTGTGACCTGGTGGTTTTGGCCACTGGGCCTCAGGGAGGGCAGAAAATACAGGATCACTAACAAGGAAGGTATCTGCTTTGAGGCCCTCAGAGCTCAAGAGCACCCTAACATGCCATGCTTTGTTACTGAACACTCCAATGTGCTGTGCCTTGGTGCTCAGTCCTGAGTCTTGGGGGAGGAGGTGATATGCCTGAGTAAGTTTGGTTCTTGGCATGGCAACTGGGTCTGCTGTCGGATCCTAGTAATAATGGAACAAAGGTGGCCATGAGAGGCTGATAGTGGAAAGAAACTAAAGGGTTTTGAGTGGCTTAGGTATGGAGGAAGGTCTTGGGGGAGGATTTCTAGCTCAGGGGTTGAAATCCCAAAACAAAGATCTGAAGATCTATTTCAGAAAGCCTCAGTGGTTATAGGATCATGGTGATGGAGATGTATATGTAGGATCCTAGCAAGAAAAAGATTGTCACTTGATAGTTCAGTTGAAAAGACTTTAAAAAGGGGGGCTGTCTGCAGAGCTGTGTGTAAGATTAAGGGAGCAATGGGACCAAATTGTTATCACTTCTAGGCTGAAGGTGCACAAAGGGAGTCCTGGCAAGAGCTAGGATCATGGAGGGTCTAAGCCACTGCCAGGGTGGCAAGAGAGAGGCAAGGAGAGGGGATCAGTACTCCTCTCTCTCTCTCTCTCTCTCTCTCTCTCTCTCTCTCTCTCTCTCTCTCTCCCCTTTCTCTATTCCTTGTGGTTCCCAACCAGAAGCCTATCAGGACTCTCAAGCTCTCTACTGCCTTCCACCAGGTCTTCACACGGTATGGGAAGTGTTACACATTCAACTCGGGCCAAGATGGGCGGCCACGGCTGAAGACAATGAAAGGTGGGACTGGCAATGGCCTGGAGATCATGCTGGACATCCAGCAAGATGAATACCTGCCTGTGTGGGGAGAGACCGGTATGTTACCCTGTTCAGGAGCCCCCTCCCTGAACCCCAGACTCAGACCCTTGTCCTTTCTCCCAAGATCACTCACCATCTGTCTTTGTTCCTGTGTGACTTCCACACGCTTGGTTCCCTGGCTCCCCCTTCCCGGTTCAGTTACTCTCCAAGGTAACCAGCCATCCTCTTCCATCAGTGGCCGCCACTCACTCTATAAATATCTCCCTCTCTTCTTGGGCTGCCTGCCTGTCTGGTCTCAGGGGACATAGGGGCAGAGAGATGGGGAGAGAGGAGAAAGGGGTGAGGAGAAATGGAGAGTGGCTGAGACAGTGGCCCTCCAGGAGAAATAATCTGAAACACCAAGAAACATCACAGACCAGGTAAGAAAAGACGTGTGTAGGATGCAGAGGTCACTGGGGTACTATGGAACTGCTAACACAGGAGGCTAGAAGTGTGCTAGAACCCCATAGCCTCCTCACCAAGTCCCAGTGGAGACTGCTTATTGTCAGGGGAGTTATGATGCCCCAGGCTCTGAAGATGACCAGGGACTTGGAAACCATCCTAACTCACGTGTCTTCATCTTTACAGACGAGACATCCTTCGAAGCAGGTATCAAAGTGCAGATCCACAGCCAGGATGAACCTCCTTTCATCGACCAGCTGGGCTTTGGTGTGGCCCCAGGCTTCCAGACCTTTGTGTCTTGCCAGGAGCAGAGGGTGAGGGGCTGCAGAAAGCTACTTCTGGGGTTGTGTGTTGAGGAGTCAAGATGGGGTTCTGGGGAACTGGGAAGATGGCTCAGCAGGTAGTGTTTATTATACAAACATGAGGACCTCAACTGAGATCCCTAACATGTGGGTAAAAATCAGGGTGGTACACACCTGTAACCCCAGTTCTGGGCTGGGGGTGTGCAGAGACAGGTGGATCCTTGGGGCTAACTGGCCAAAAATCCACAGGTTCAGTAAGAGATCCTGCCTTGAAAACAATAAGCAGAGAGAAATATCCAATATCTACTTCTATTTCTGAGCTATGCATGGGGCACAGTCATATTCACGTGCATACAACACACACACACACACACACACACACACACACACACACCATACACACACATACACACACACCATACACACACACACATACACACACACATACACACACACATACACACACACACACACACCACACACACACACACACACACACACACACACACACACACACAGGGAGAGAGACAGAAAGAGAGAGAGAGGACAAAAATGGAAGAAATACTTTATAAACCCTAAGACCTTTAGAGGTGCAGGGATACGACTCCTGAGTTCTGTATCTTGCCAGAGAAGTCCACTAGGTGAGTTGGGGGAGAAGTCCGCACACTTCCCCAGCTCCCCGGCTCTCCCAGCAGCTCATCTACCTGCCCTCACCCTGGGGCACCTGCAATGCTGTTACCATGGACTCGGATTTCTTCGACTCCTACAGTATCACCGCCTGCCGCATTGATTGTGAGACACGTTACCTGGTGGAAAACTGCAACTGCCGTATGGTACACATGCCAGGTCAGGCCCCAAGATTCCAAGCAGAGCCCTGGGCTATCTCAGGCTGCACTGCCCCTCACCTGTGCCCCAGCCATATTGGCCTCCCTAATCCTGGTCCCAGATCACTCTGTTTTCTTATCTTTCTGGTTCCTGTCTCTCAGTCCCTGCCTATGTCTACGGGAAGGGATGGAAGGGTCCAGAAGGGGTAGACTGTCAGAGTAGGTCACTTCCGGCGCACAAGGGGTGACTACTCCTACTGTCCCATCTTCCAGCTTCCTCCTTACACAGTACCATGCCATCACAAGACCCCTTAAATCTCTCCCTGTCCCACCATCTTCTCTCCTTTGTAGGGGATGCTCCATACTGCACTCCAGAGCAGTACAAGGAGTGTGCAGATCCTGCCCTGGGTGAGCACCTGACCTGGGACACTTAGAGGGAGGGAAGAAAGTACTGTCTGCCTCATGCACAGGGGAGTGAGATCAAGGTTGAACTCCTGCATTAGTCTGTGCCTCCCGCAGCAGCCTCTAAATGATGAGAACTGCACCATCAAAGGTCCCTCTGGAGAATTAGTAAGGGCCTCTTGGGAGGAGCCTTCACCCTCTTTCAGCCTGAGAGTTGGTCCTTGAGAACCCTGAGGGAATAACATATAAGAGGGAGGTTGGGTGAAGATCAGGACTGAGATGAAGGAGAAGGGAAAGGGACCCTCGGGATCCTTTGGGCAGGGTCAGTATGTCCTTGTTGGGAAGGTCCTGACAGTAGGACGCCACTCAACTAGTGCCTCCTCACATGGGCACAGACTTCCTAGTGGAGAAAGACCAGGAATACTGCGTGTGTGAAATGCCCTGCAACCTGACACGCTATGGCAAGGAGCTGTCCATGGTCAAGATACCCAGCAAAGCCTCAGCCAAGTACCTGGCCAAGAAGTTCAACAAATCTGAGCAGTACATAGGGTAAGGACTCTCCTGTGCAGAGCAGGGCCCTTGTACAAGGACTGGAGAGGGTACAAGTGACCTTTAACGGGAGTCTCACAGGCACAAGGGAGTGGAGAGAATTCATGGAAGGTCCAAGAGGCAACCAATGAGTGTGGGCTGTATGTGGAGAGATCAAACTGGAAGAAGTAATACAAGTCCTCTCCTCCCCCTTCTTGCTTCATCTTCTAGCTCCATCTTCCTTGCTGTAACAGGGATCACTTCCCACATGCCAGCATGCAATGTGTCTTTTCATACATGCCATTTAATTGAATCCTCGAAGCACCTTTAAGAAGGCAGGATCTCGTTTAGGAGTATGGAAACAAACATGCTAAAATCACCTGTCTGGTAAGGGGAAGAGACATGACTTGAACCAAGCTCTCCTCCTTTCACCCCTGCACAGGGAGAACATCCTGGTGCTGGATATTTTCTTTGAAGTCCTCAACTATGAGACCATCGAGCAGAAAAAGGCCTATGAGATCGCAGGGCTCTTGGGTGAGCTTGTGAATGGCACCAGCCCTCTCCTATGCCTAGGACATGGCATGGCCCCCTTCTACCTAGTGATTGGTGCTCCTAGTCTGTCCCATCCCCAAGGGTCTTTCCCTGAGCCCTCTCGTGTGGCATGATGTGGAGGAAGGGCGGGACCTTCTCTTAGGACAAAGTAGAAAAGACAAGCAAGCAGGTCAGAGAAAGGGGCTGAGGGCCAGGAGCAGAAACGTTCACATGTCCTTGAAAGTGGACCGATGCTAAGCAAGTATTGCATTTTGTAAAGAATTCATTTTTTTCCCTGAATAATGACTACTCATTTTGGAAAAAATAGGAAAATACAGAAAAGCATAGAGAATAAAAATCCCGACCGTTCTGTATCAAGGTGCCCATCTCTGCAAACATGGCTGGCCTGCCCCAGTCCTTTTGAGCCCCATCGCCCCTCTGACCTTGGTGTCCTGAGCCCACTAACCTTTCCAACCTGACCTCACAGGTGACATCGGGGGCCAGATGGGGTTGTTCATCGGGGCCAGCATCCTCACAGTGCTGGAACTCTTTGACTATGCCTATGAGGTAAAGGGAGGGGCAGGGCTTGGGGGGGCTCCCCGGGTTGGGGGTTCCAGTCCACCCAACCTGCCCCGACCTCTCCCAGGTCATTAAGCACCGTTTGTGTAGACGAGGGAAATGCCAGAAGGAGGCCAAGAGGAGCAGCGCAGATAAGGGCGTAGCGCTCAGCCTGGACGACGTCAAAAGACACGTGAGGGAGCAAGGCACGGGGCACCCCTCTGGCCTGCCCCTTCCCCCAAAGCCTCACACCAACCCCATCCCCATGCCACCTTTTTACCTGCAGCCCTTTCTGTAACCTGCCCCTGTCTTGTTTCCCTCGCTAGAATCCCTGCGAGAGCCTCCGGGGACACCCTGCCGGGATGACATACGCTGCCAACATCCTACCTCACCATCCTGCTCGAGGCACCTTTGAGGACTTTACCTGCTAAGCCCCCGCAGGCCACCATACCAAAGGCCTAGGTGGGGAGGGCTAGGAGAACAAGGGGCCCCCAACTGCCCCCATCTACCCCGGGGACCCAACTGCACTCCTGTGCAGTGGTTCCCTCTTGCCTGGTGAGAAAGGCGTCTTCACCATGGTCCTCTCCCTGCCTCTATCCCATCTTTTTATTTTAACAAAATTAAACTAATATAAAAAGAGAGAGATCCGGCCGGGACCTCAGGCTGCCCCTCTCTGCTCCATGCTGCCTCCCCTAACTCCAAGCCTGAATTCTGTCTGTCTGGCTGTCTGTCATCTGAGTGTCCACCTACATTCTGCTGCCACCAGTCACCAAAGCCCCTCCTAGTGAAGGGTGGAGGGGATCTCTAGGGTCTGAAGTTTGACCCCAAACCAGAGAATGTACCTTAAGGGAGAGAGCTAGTGAGGGGGCTTCCCTAGCCTTAAGAGACTCTCTCAGCCCACCGACTCCCCACAAGCCCAAGTCTCCAGGTAAGAACTAAACGCCCTCAATCATCTGGAATCGTTAGGGAGTAGAGATCTCCTGAAGATGTAGACATGGAGACTCCATGTGGCCCTGGTGCTGTAGGCCACATCCCAGTATCTGTTAGTCACCTCCCCCCCAAAGCTGCTGGAGAGAAATCCTAAGAGGCAGCCCTCCTCTACATCCCGTAAGACACCTGGCTGGTTAGCTTCCAGCTCAGGGAGAGGGGTACTGGAGCCTGACCTCCTGGCTTCTCTCTCAGAGGCCTTTGCAGAGGGCCACATCCATAAATTTTCTTATGGAACGCTCCTCTTCCCCACCTTCATTTGCTTCTCTCAACAACCTCATCTGCATTTTCTATTTCTATATGATACAGACTCTATATTGCTATATCTCTGTATATACTTTCCCTCCAGCCCTGTTTGTCTCCACCCCGTTCCCTCTTGTCTCTGAGAATCATCCTTCTACCCCAAGTGCTCCCTTTTGTTTCTACCCATTCCCTATCTCTGAATGCCTTTGCCTGTATAAAGAGTTGGACTCCCTCCGGTGTCTGTACTGTGTACACACATCCCTTCGAGAAGCACAAGGAGACGACACGCGCATTGTAACCTTCGCACTGTCTCGGTGGCGACATAAAGGAAGCTGTGAATTACAAGCTCTGCCTCTTTCTGGCCTCACCCTCAGCCCTCCCCACAGCCTTAACATACCCTCTTCCTTGTTCCACCTATCCCAATGCCCTTTGCCTGGCTGACCACAGCCTCGCCGGGGGAAGGGACTGCTGAGGAGGTAGCACCTAGCCAGGAATGGAGCTATGCTGGATGCTAAGCCAAGAGTGTTAGAGACAGAAGAGGCTGGGGATTGGTGACTCTTGCAGCTGGGGCAGTGGGTACCCACAGACAGAAGCGGAAGTCCTCATTCGGTGGCCTTTCTCTCCTCTGGGTGCCCAGTGCCCCTCCCTCACTTTGATAGCCAGGCCCACCACTTGTATTTTTTGGTGAGGCAGGGTTTGGTCATGTGAGGAAAGAGACAGGCCTAGAGGAGAAGTTGAGGGCTCTGCTGTTGTGTGTCCCTACCTTAAGGGACCACAAGTTGAAGAAGAGGGCCTCCCCACCCCTACCAGGCATTCTTCCCAGGCCAGAGCTCCAACCCTTTGCAGGACTTCTCTGACTGCACTGTCTGTCTCTTGGCCTCTAATCCCCAAAAAGGACTTGTGGACAGACCACCTGTGTGCGTTGGCCTGGAGCCAGAGAGTGGGGCTATAGCATCTCTGAGAACTCTTGGTTCCCTAGAGTTCTGTAGACAGCAGACTCCCCAGAAGGAAACAGGGACAAAGCTGAGAAGTATCCACTGGCTGGGGGACAGCAGGCGGGGCTCTGGGTGACGCATGCCTCTGGTCTAATAAACTGGGTTTCAACCATCTCCTCCTCTCTAGAGTTCTGTAGACAGCAGACTCCCCAGAAGGAAACAGGCACAAAGCTGAGAAGTATCCACTGGCTGGGGGACAGCAGGCGGGGCTCTGAGTGACGCATGCCTCTGGTCTAATAAACTGGGTTTCAACCATCTCCTCCTCAGTGTTGTTCTTTTTGGTTGAAGAGTTTATAAGGATTACCATTAGAATGCAGCCTGCCTTGAGGGCCATGTTGACTAGAGTAAGGAATTTGGGTAGTCCAGTGTGGTGGCTACACCTGTAATTCCAGCACTTAGGAGATGGAAGCAGGTATCTTTCATTACAGAGCGAGTGTACTACTAGGCTGGGCTACATGAGACCCTACATATTTGATCAGGTAAACACTGGTCCTCCTGGAAAAGGACAGGTTCAGGAATAGTTTGAATCACTGGGCAGTGAAAGAGCAATGAACAGCAACAGATTTCCAGGACCTTCGGAGAGGATTCATGGCCAAAATTCATTAATATCTGAAGGCAATGGTCTGAGATGAAGGGTGAAGTTCCCGCGTCGGAGAGTTATTGAGCCATTATCTGTGAAATGAAGCCGGGGCTACCAGCCAGGAGACCAGAATCTAGGATGGCTTTTCTTTTAATTTGCTGGTTTGTCTTTGCCAAGACATTTCCCTCCTTTGAGTTCAGCTTTTCCGTTTGTAAAACGAATAAACAGCACGTTTCTCTCTTTCGTACCCGGAGTTCGAGCAGTAGGAGAATGGAAAGCAAAGCAAACAGAATGCTTTGGAAAGGCAAAAGCACTGTGTTGAGATGACAGTGTCTCCAGCCTGCGGTGTGCGCTCGTCTCTTTCCAACGCCTTGTCGTCCTCCGCCCGCCTGGGGGCGCCCGCTCCCGTCACCTCTCTATCCGCACTCTGCTTCTCTATGGTGCCCCTCCTGTGCCGCGAAGGCGGGAGGGAGTGGTCAGCACGCCTTTTCCGCTAGTTGCCCCC